TAAGATTTCCACAATTTGCAGGCTGTTCAACTCTGACTCCAAAGTCTGTGCAGCTTCTCAGTCACCTAGGTCATGACAGTCTTAAGAGCTTGAAAAAAAGATGACTTTCTTTAAGGCTTTTTTCACCTCTCATCCAAGAGGCTTCTTTAGTTCAGAACTGCTTCAAAGGTGTCATCACCTCCTGGCCTTTGCAAAGAATACAAGGTTAAAACACATGTAGACTGGGTACTTTGTCAGGTCTGGGATCTATGTGCATCCAGCTTTGTGTACCCTCTGCAGTGATATGAACTTCAGTGTTTACTATGCATAAAAGCCAGATCCATGCATCTCCTGTATTGTTTAAACGAATCGAGTTTGGAGGGGTATCTTTCTTCTTTCCCCATGGGACTAGCACGGAGGATTGCAACCATGCTGGTGACTGTGTTCCTTACAAGTCTGCAACAGAGCTCCTTCGACATCTTACAGTCCTTTTCCTTTCCAATGTGGAGCAATGCAAAGTTCTGCCTGCGCACCATGTCCAACTCTGAATCTGTATACACCACATGCTCTGGTGGGTCTGGCATTTTCATTTTTTGTCAGCGGTGTAGGAAATGGGAGTGGAATTTGAGGCTGACATTGTGACACATCAAAGCCTAAGGGGTTACTCTCGCTTCGATGGCAAGTGTTGGCTTCTTGGTCAGTACTCTTAAACTATAACAGTTGTGGGATATAAACAAAAATACACAATTAGGCAAATTAATGCTAGACAATATGGACAGTAATCATCTTCTTAGTGGTATAATGTGTATTTACCTTTTGGCTGATAAAGTCCCAAATCTTCTTTCTCCGGAAGAAATTTTCATGGCCGGGAAAAAGATCCTTTAGGTCATCCCGGGTAAAGCTTCTCAAAGTTTCCTCGTCAATATTCGCAGCTGTAAAACAGAAAAACAACTTTAAAAGTAATATTTATTTCTCTTTTCCTGGGCGTTGCTTACTAGATATTGAGGTCATTTTTTGTCAATAAATGTATTTTAGCAATAAGTAATAATAACAGGATAAAATGTCAAACTTAAAACAGTTTATGTGTTAACTAGAATAGAATACAATAGAATAATCCTTTAATGTGAATTTTATAAAAATATTTGGGAATGCAATAAAACTATTTTTGGCTGTCTTGAGGAATAATGTTCCAAGTCTATTTTGGCAAAAACAGCTCAAGGCTATGATAAAGTTCAGAGTAGAGTACAATCCTAGCTCTAAGTTTCAGAAACGATGCTAACAGATGCTAAGGCTGCTTAGCTAACGTACCAAAATAACTGAAAAATAACACTTACACAGACAGTATGGCATCGGCAAACTTGTCCATGGAAAAGAAAAACAGAAGGGAAGAGGGACAGAGAGAGAGGAAACTTAAAAAGAGAAAGAAGAGAAAAAAAATCTCCTGGATCAGCTGTTGAGAGAAAAAGACGAGAAAATAAGCAAAAAAAAACAGAGCAACATACTAAACACAACACCATCGCATTAATCTAGCTGAGTGTAAACAGCAGTAAATACTAAATATTCAATGTTGTTGTGCAGCACGCAGGACAGACAGCGCACAATGTGC